AGCTTATTAAATGATGACTGAACAATGATGGTATCACCATGAAATTATCAGTTAAATTTCAATCTCTTTACATTACACATTTCAAGAACTGTCTTCTACTGTTAGGTTTGGTTTTAGTTTATTGTCGTGAGGTTTGTTTTGGAGGAACATGCATGTGCCATTGTGTCCATCCATGCAGTTAAGGAGCAAATCTTATAATTGCATTGACAAAATGGCGGATGCTCCTCCAAAACAAGCCTCAGAATATAAAACCAAACTTAACAGTACAAGAACCATACTTACCTAAGGTGACAATCATAAAATCAGGTTTTTATAGATTACTTGCAAAAACTCCTAGATGTTCATTGCTGTCAGAGAATGCATGCTTAAATTTAAATCAATCTTCTTTGAATAGATAAACCATGCCACTTCCTAACTGGGCAATAGTCGGTGGATTCTGTGTGCTTCCTCATATCGGCGGTATTGCTGGTGGATTTATCACTAAAAAGTACACTAAAACTTGGTATGAAGGTATGTTCTGCAAATCTCACTAGAAAAAAAATGAAAATTTTGATTAAGTTAAATTATAATTTTATGCATACCTTTTAGGGTCATTTTCAAAACAATTCATTCAGCACCTGCATAAGTGGGGCCCTAGGATAAGTGATTGTGCATTTTCGTGGGTTGTGATTTATATACCTTAAGTAACTTGTATGATTTATCACCTCGAGGGGGTTTTATATCCTCTGATCTCTTTTTTCCCTGCATTGGCTCCCTTCAAACTATAGCATGCTTATCRTGCATACTACACGCATGCACTGTTTGGAAGGGACCACTTTTGATAGATAAAGTTGTACAATCACTCATCAGTTACTGTAACCTGCAATATTCAGGTCTGAATAAGCCATCATGGCGTCCTCCAAACTGGGCCTTTGGACCGGTATGGACCACGCTGTACACAGGAATGGGTTATGCATCATATTTAGTATGGAATGAAGGAGGTGGCTACAATGATACAACAAAACTACCACTTATTCTCTTTGGTTCTCAGTTGGCACTGAATTGGGCCTGGACCCCAATCTTCTTTGGGGCTCATAAACTAGGAGCAGTAAGTCTTGCACTGTATTGTCAAGGGTGTTAGCAAGTATGAAGCAGTTTTGCATAGCTCACCCAACCATTGCTTGAGAGAAAGAAAAGAAAGAATGTGTACGTTTTTATTATGTTATTGCATCGGTGCTCGAGCTCTCAAGAAAAATACGGGTTACTTGTGGTATTACATCACGATCCCATGCTTATACATGTAGAACGAAAGATCGCACAGTAAATAAGAAACTCACAAAGTTTGGTGTTAATTGGTTCAAATTAGATGATTGGCAGCTTTTCAAAAATTCTAGATTTTACAAATAAATGTATGGGAATTTAGAAAAATCTGGACACAGCGTCCAGCATTCTATACATTTCTTTGGAAATTCTAGTGTTTTTGAAAGGCTGTAGATCGTTTAATATTAACCAAATTGACGCCAAATTTGCACGTAGTATTCCTCAGTACGTTCTTTCGTTTTATATAAGTCTTATCTCATCGTCGTTTACCTAAACGAGCAGGAGACTGGGTACTAGTTATATAAATTAACCTAATTAAAATATTAATCATATCATTGGAAAAATTTCAAAATTTGAAGGTCCATTTCTTACACATTATTTAACCAAAAGCAACCAAACTTTGAAATCTTGTTTATTGTGTGG